TTTGGAAATTGACTAGCCTGGAATAACTGCCCGTGTCTACACGCAGCAGTGAAACAGGAGTTCGAAGTAAAGCCCTAACACGAATTAGCTGTTAAACCTCATGGAATTTGGTTTAACAGCTAATTCAAATTAAGGGCTTTACTTTGAACTCCCGTTTCCCTGCCGCGTGGGCAGTTATTCCGGGCTAGTCAATTTCCAAAATGGCAACCGCCCAGGAACATGCTAATGAAGTGCGGGATATTTAAATCCTGCACTTCATTTGCAATTTCGGTTGCCCTCATTAGCCTCCCTAGTTCGAACTAGGGGGCTAGTGTAGACGTACCCATGGATAGAAAGCTGTCTAGACTGTTGGGCCCAACAAGTAGTGATCAACGGCTCGATGTCAGGTTGGCGGTCAGTTTCTAGCAAAGTGCCCCAAGCATCTGTTCTAGGACCGGTTTTGTTCAACATCTTTATTAATGACCTGGATGAGGGGATGGATTGCACCCTCAGCAAGTTTGCAGATGACACTAAGCTAGGGGGAGAGGTAGATACGCTGGAGGGCAGCGATAGGCTCCAGAGTGACCTAGACAGATAAGAGGACTGGGCCAAAAGAAATATGATGAGGTTCAACAAGGACAAGTGTAGAATCCTGCTCTTGGGACGGAAGAATCCCAAGCATTGTTACAGGCTGGGGACCAAATGGGTAAGTAGCAGTTCTACAGAAAAGGACCTGGGGATTCCAGTGGATGTGGATATGAGACAATAGTGTGCCTTAGATTCAAAATCAACATGGAATATGGGATGCAAGGAAAGTCCTTGACAGCTGCCTCGAATCCTGATTGTGAATTTTAAACACTTCCAAATCATCTATTGAACAGCATGAACTTGCCCAGAACCAAGTGTTTAACTGCAAGGAGACAAGCCTGTTCTGGCACCTGCTCCCAAACAAGACTCTACCAGGCGCAGAATTTCAACCGAAGTGAAGATGGGCTCAGGATGATGGGGCTGGGGGAACAGGTGACCTTGCGCAAGGCTGGGAGGATTTGTGAGGCCTGACCTCAACAGATGAATGCCGCGGGCTTCTTCCTCCGGGCTTCTTCCTCCCCTCCCATCCCCTCGAATGGGGTGAACTGTCCAGAAAAGGGCTCCCTCCAGATAGTCCCATGGGGAATGTTATCCTCCTTCGGCCTGGGGCTTCTATGCCTGGGGCTGGCCGGGCGCAGCCCCTCTGGGCCGACCGAATGCCCCAAAGGGCCCCGCAGCTTGCCCTGGGGGTTCTTGTAGGGACCCCGTGGATCTGACTGATGTCCCAAGTCCTGCAAACCCTTATGAGCAGTGCAGATAGGCCTGGGGGAGGTTGCATGTCCACAGCACGTCAAGGAAGCATTAACCCTTCAGATTCTGACACTTTCCATCCAGCCCAGTGCTCAGAACCCAGGATGGGGCAGTGTCTCCCAGGGTCTGTACAGCCCCCAGCTCCGCAGAGCATGGACAGTGCCCACGCTCAGGCAGGGTCGCTCCCTGCATCCAGCCCTCCATCTCTGGCTGGCTGGCTGGTATGATCTGAGCAAGAGGGAATGACACTTTCTAGTCCTTAACTCAGCAGACGTTTCCTGACTCTTGGGCTGGGACAATTAAACAGCCAGGGAACTGGCCGAAGACTGAGCAGGGCCACTGGAGGGCAGGGAGCTGGGCTGTGTACAGAGCCAGCTGACAACCTGGGATTAGGAGACTTCCCTCCCTGGAGTTATTGTGTAGCTGGGCGTGTCCCCCTTTCCGGCTCTGGTCATGGGTCCGCACTGCTGCCCTTCACAGGCCGATGATTGAGCTGAGCCTTGAGAGGCAGCAGGAAACTGGTTGTTCATGACATTGTGGCTCCTCTCCTGGTTCCAGCTGCTAAATTCCATCAGCCCCACCCCCAAAAATGCAGCTCCAGGTGGGGCTGCTTGAACATTTGCCGTCAAAATGTTCTTCAGTGGGAAATCGTATTTCTGACTGGCCAAAAGTGCCTGGTGTGGGGACGCGGAGCAGCTGAGCGCGAACCCAGGGGCTGTGGGCAAGGCGGAGGTGCCATGGTGTGTGTAGGAAGGTCCCTGATTTCACCCTGCAGTGCTATCCGGCCGTTCTGGGTCTGCACAAGCACACAATTGGCAACACCCAACGTGTTCTTACTGTAGGTACGTAATCAGCCAGTCAGGACAGGCGCACTTCCATGTGACAGAGGGCAGGAAATGGGAATCCCATAACCAAAGAGACATGAAAGCGGGCGCCCCGTTGAATAGGGACTCAAGTCCCATGCTGTGGTTTCTGCTGTCTGACTGGATGTCTTTGTAACTTCCAGCATGTAAGTTTTAAGAAGACGTGTGCTATTTGCCATGTTCTGTCTACGTGAGATTGGCGCAGACCCTGTGGGGTTTGGGTTTTTAGCCTTCTCTGCAGCAGGGGGCAAATGTCATGGGCAATTGGGGGAGTCTTTATCACCTGAAATCTTCACCTCAGAGTGTCAAACTTCTGGCTCGCAGGCCATCCCTGGCTGGAGTACAGGCAGTCCCCGACTTATGCGGATCTGACTTATGTCGGATCCGTACTTACGAACGCGGCTTTTCTGGCCCCGGAGCTCACGGGCGGCGAGGACAAGGCTGCTGGACTGGCTCCTGACCCCAGGGAGGCTCCTCAGGCACCGGCCACAAGGCAATTTTATTCTTCAAATACAAACTCACCAAGTAGCCCCCCTGCTCCAGAGCAGGCCACTTCTAGTAGCTCACCCCCAATTCTTAGCATCTCAGCTGGGAAACAGCTGATCGGTCACATCCCTCAAAGAGTGTGGCCTCAGGGTTTACCGGGGGACCTGGTGTGGGACGTCAGCAGCAATTGGAAGCAGGAGCCGCAGGGAAGCAGAGTGTAGCCGAGTGAGTGTCCTTGCGGAGTGTGCTCCACACCCCAGCGGTTCCCGCTGCCGCGGGAGGAAGGGGGGGTTGCTGCTAATACTGTGTGCCACCAGGCCCCCTCAGTGATCCCACAAGGGACAGAAAGCCATGGGAGGAGGGGGGGTGTGGTAAGAAGGGGGGGATTTGGGGATAGGAACAGCAGGACAACCCCCCCCCCCCCGCCCGCCGGGACTCCTGGGCCAAATTGTACAGCTGAGGGAATTTGGGACCCCTGCTTTACGCCCTGCTCTGAGGGCATGAATGGCTCAGCCAGAGGCGGAGGGTCATATCCAGGAGTGGGCGTGTGAGGTGCTGTGGCCTGCCGTGCGCAGGATGTCAGACGGGGGGATCGTGAGGGTCCCCGTTCGGCGCGTGTGAAACGTGAGAGAAGCCTGCAGGCTCAGATGCCCCTGGAAAGTGCGTGTGCAAGGCCACGAGTGTGGGTGAGGCACCACTCAAGTTGGAACCCAGCAAATCTGAGCACACATAGGAGGTGGGGGCCAGAGGAGAAAGGGCCAGGGAGCGGCCCGGCCGGGCTGTGGGGAGCAAAGCAGGCCTGGGGTGCTCTTGCTCAGCATGCCAGGCTCAGCTCCCATTGCTTCTTGTGTAGCTGGGATCCTCCCAGAGCAGGCTGAGCCCGGGCAGGGCCGGGGCTGGGAACAGGCTTGTTGAGGTTCCCTCGCGGCCACGTCCCCAGAGAATTGCCTGTCCTTTCCTTTCTTTGCCCAGGAGCAGGCCCCCCAGGCTCATCTGGGATCCCAGGGCCTCAGCAGCGCAGTACTGCGACCCAGCAAGTTTGGAAGCCGCCCACAGCTCATGAGCTGGGCTGGACTCTTTGCCAGGCAGCCCC